GGTACTCGATCAATACATTTGCAACCAGCAAATTTTTCACTTTCCTAATACTGAACACAGGTGAAAAAAAAAAATCTGAAGCTGGTTGCCGTAAACTTCTGTTGTTAAGCACAAGTGAAATGGTCTTTTCTAAATTGTCACCTTTTTCACAATACAGCTGAAAATTGGAGACAATACAGTTGAAAATTGGAAAATTGGAGACACCAACATTCTGACTAGCATTCCATACATTGTATATTTATTTTGATTATTAATCTGAAAAGACAGTCTTCCACAATGAGGTATCATGGATTCACCCAAGGAAAGTTTTTGTTCAGGTTTGTACAAAGTGTTGAACTTATTCAACACATAATTTATTATGGGTTCAATTTTGTATAATCTGTTTGGATTTGACTACATTTGTGCATTATTGAAAAAATATAAAAAAACCACAAGATGTGTAGGAATCTATTTCATGTTATTATTTTTGAAAAGAAAGGCATTGCAATTGACAGACGTGTTGACCAACAATCACGTATTGTGGTTTTCTTCACTTGTCCCATCAAAATATTTTATGGTAGAATTTTTTTTCATCTCAGACATTGTAGTACTGCTCCACTTTTTTTGTTTCTTTGGACATTTATATCTGTGGTGCATCTGATCATAATATCTGTAAGTTTCAGTTGTGATCAATTCTATAAAATTATCTCCAATAAACAGTCCAACAATTTCATTTATACTTTGAGGATCATTTGGAACTACCTCGACAGCTGGATTACCAATAAACTCTTCTAAGTTTTCTTTTTTGGATCATATTTTGTCCACTCAGTGCCTGATTCGTTCTCACCAGTACTATATTCACTGTCATAGATTATCTGCGTTATACTTCTTTGTTTACATTGTAGCATTACATCACTATCTGTCTCACTATCACTAATAAATTCACTGGATTCACCTTTGACCTCAGAAATCTCATCAGCAAATGTTTCTTCATTTTCCATAATTATGATAAATTATTTTTAACGATGAAGTATGAAAGTCCTGAAATATCAAAATATAAGTATATACAACACTAATTGCAACAAAATAATGACCAACTTGCAATTTTTGCCAACTATGTAAATCAATAACAACATTGTGCAGTTGATATCAGATAATTATCTCAATTAACTTTCTCCTTGCCCGACTATTCATTTTCAAGCAAAATACAGTAACACATACATATGACATTGCAACATTTAGAAACAGAATTTACAGAGATGCAAATTCCATCAGTAGCAACCAGGAACAGAACTTGGAATGATATAAATTCACATCAGTGGCAATCAGGAACAGAATTTTAATGATGGAAATTCACAACAATGGTAACCAGGAACAGAATTTGAAATGACATAAATTCACATCAGCGGTCACGAATGAGTTAATATTACTATCTTAATATATAAAAAATCCTCATGGATAAATAGAAACAATAAAACCACATGTATATATTTGTATATCCTTCAGTTTTCTGACCAAAACTTTATAATATGTCTCTGGTTGTTTGCAACTGTGTCATTTATTTCTAGGCAAATCTATACACGTGGCAGGTTGCTAACTCAGCATTTTTTGTCTCAAGTTCCAAATAAATGCAGCAGGAAGACAGATTCCTCCTAACTGGCCATGTGGATTTGACATACTGCTTTCTCCATATTGTTTACCAAGGGGAAATCACCAACTCTTTTCTTCCCAAGGCAAGCAGTAGATTTTGTTTCATCCAATGCAGCCCATTATTGTTTTGGACTTCTATAGAAGATATTTCTGTCACTAGATGAGACTTCCTACTATGAACCTCTAAGACTATATTCTCTCTCTGTTTTAAATTTCTCCTTTACCTATCATTATGATTTTGATTTTTGAGCCTATCAGTTGCCTTGAGGCTGCAAAACACAAGTTGTCATCTTCAGATTTGGATTTAGTCTCCTTGAAAAGTCCTTCATTTATTTTGTTAACATAGAGTAGTGGGATTTATTTTCATTCTCTTCCTCCTTTATGTCATATTTTCTGATCCTCTATCCTCTTAAATTAGGTTTTTCACCCAAATACGAAACTTCACAGATTCCTATTTGATGTATTTCAGTCACGAGATAGTATATACTGTATTAGTTAAGATGCTTTTTGATTATAAATAAAAGTACATCCATTTCTATCTCTAATTATTTTTTCCAAAAAGGTCCATTGGCTCATGTAACTGAAAAGTCAATAGGTATGTATAGTTCCAGAGGGGTCTGAGTGAGTTGTTCAAACAATGTTACCTAGACCCAATATCTCTTTCTATCTTCCATTTAACAGGATAACTTCTTTACTGTTGGTTCCATCATGGCACACATTCCTTTCAGGGCACAAAATGGCAATTCTTGGGGTTGTATATTTCCTCATTCATATCTGACAAGGAACAGAGATTCTGTGTTGCTAGTAATTCAAATAAAATCTAAGAGAGGAAACTCACTGGCTATGTTCCTTGAACTAATTACCGCAGCAAGGTAAAATGGATATGCTGATTACATAATAGTAAGCCAACAGCCCTTGGAGGTTTTGTCAATTCCACCCAAACCATAAGATTGGGAGATGTGGTATTGTGTTAGGAAGATGGAATAAGAAATGGCTGCTGGCGAGTCACCTAACAAATGTCAATTCTTATCTCCTGAAACAGCAAGTTGATTAGTTTGGCAATAAGTAGTCAGCATATCATTAGTAATGACTAAACAGTCAGTACATTGATTAAACTTCAGGTGCTTGATTACAAGAAGTAGATAATTGAGTTAGAAAAGTAATAAAAATAATTTTTAAAAAGCAACTAGAGCTAGATTATGAACTATTTATGGGCTGGAACATTCTGAGGACCAAGCATAGCATTTGATACCTAGAAAGAATTCTGTAAATATTCAACCCTGAATTTACAAAGTTTACAAAATTTTCAGTATATATATCATCTCATTGGCTATAAATAATTATCTCTTGTGAGGTATAGGGCAATTATTATTTCCATTTTATAGATGAGAAACAAGCTTAAATCTGAAATAATTTATCTCTAATAATTAAGTGATGAAATCAGGGTATACATCCAGGTTTTTTGATTTTAAGATTATTCTGATCTAAAATTATTTTCATGATTTTTCTATTATTCTACATTGCTTCACATGCCTCAGAATGTGACTAGGTAAGAGGATTTGTGATTTTTCTTTTCAATAGGTAATCAGGTGTTCCGTTTCAAATATTAATTTTACATGATTAAATCTTGTAAAAATCAGTCAAATAGAATATGTAGATATCTCAAATGATTGTTCTTATGTAGACACACTGACTAAAAACTTATCTGACACACTGACAAAAAAACCAAGTCATTCAGAACCAATGAGGCTCATTAATAAAGTTAGTGCCAGATAAGCATTCAAGTTAACATAGTTCCTTTAGAAGCACTAAGAATATTAAAGGCTTTCTTTTTCATTATTTTGTTACCTATTTCTAATTTTCATTTTTTTCTATAGATGTCAGGTCTAAAGAACAAGAATATTATACTCTGATTGTCATTTGTCAAAGAAAGTGCAAAAAATGTGAGTCTACTTGCAAAACTGAATATCTGTCAAGAAGATCAATACTATTTACAAAGGATCATTAAATATCAGTGAATAAATGTTTAGTAAATCAGAAAGTCCTGGGTGATGCTATAGAAGGACATTCGGTTAGAACAGTTTTACAACCATTCTCAATAAGTTCCTCCAGAGAATTAAGCACTAATAATTAATTTCTCTCACATGCATCCAGAGTGGTACTATGTATAACTCTTGGAAGAACAGAAGAAGAGTCATTCAAATAATGTTTGGTATGCCGATCAGATATTCAGAACATGATATCTTAAAATCTTGGTTATGAATACAGAAACTTCCAATTATTTTAGCTTAAAAACCAGAATGATTATTATAGTTGTAGTGGTTGCTTTATGAGATGAGAATACAAATGACAGACCTTCTTCAAGTTTGGTAATTTTGGAATATTTAATAACAAAGCTATATCTGGAAAATTCACTTACTACTTATCAATTGAAATTCACTAATAATTTTACTAAACAAGATTTAAATATTCTACTTGATCTTTGACTAATTCAAGTTTATTTCCAACCAGATATGGCTTATAGAATATAAGCGTTAAAATTATCATTTGGTAGTACATCTCCCAAGAGATTACTCATGCTAAGTTGTTGGGTTTATTTCCCCTCCAAATTCTGGGTGTTTTTTCTTCCCTGAGTATTTAAGACCAAAATTCACTTTATTATTTTCTTTTTTTCCCTCCTTTCATTTTATATCTATATTAGGGGTTTAGATTGCTTTCTTTTTTGCAGACATAGTCTAAATTATCACTGCTTAATGATTTATACTTCTCAGTTTAACCTTTCCAACCTGACATTTTTTTATAAGCTATCATTCAACCACTAACTGAAAGAACAACTGAAGAACATATGTATCCTTAAAAGTTTGTTTCTGAAGATGAGGAATCACAGAATTTGTATCAAGATTCAATTCTGTAAATGGTTGTAATGAGAATCCAGTGAAGAAAAAGAAAATGAGATGCAAAATCATGAGGAAAAAAAAGCAAGATTAATACAAATTAACTACTAGCTTGACCAACTTGCTTTTTTCTTTTTAAAAAAAAATTCTTATACATTTCTTTCTTTAAAAACCATAGAGGACTCTAAAATTTGTTGTTTTTATGACTCAAAGTGATCTGCTTAAAGGGTTATCTTAATTATGCCAGAAAATTTATTCAAAAATATCTTATGAAATTGCTAAGAAAAAATAACTTCTGAGCAACGAATTTCTTGAAACTCATGTAATAAAAGTTCATTGCCACAAACTGCAGAATGTTAATGATAACACAGTTCATCAGGCATAGGAGATTCCTTGATGGAATATACTCAATGGCACTTACACTCTGATAAGAAATGAAGGCCCATCAGAATAAAATAACACATCTTTCACAATATGTTACAGCCTGTCTCTAAGGAGAGGAAGTGGGATGCATGTTTGCAAATTCATTAATGCAAAAGCTTCTTGTCTTACCCGTTCATCTGCACTGCCTGTTGAATGATGGGAATAATTGATGAGACCAGGGATGGGCTGCTCACCGTGTGCCATGATAACAGCAGGACTGGTGTAGAATGGATGCTTCTAATGCACAACACATAACAACTATGAATACAGTGACAAGAAAACATGAAACTACACAAGCAAAATGACTAAAAATAAAAAAAAGTGAAAACAAATGGAACAATGAAATGCCAAAATTTTCTAAATGTAGAATGATGAAATCAGCATGACTTAAAATGCTATAAGCTTTTTCTTCAGATTGAACTTGATATTTCTTCCTCTTTTAATGACGAGTAAAAGAAAGAATATATAATGATTTTTTTTTTTTTTTTTTTTTGAGTTGGAGTCTCACTCTGTCGCCCAGACTGGAGTGCAGTGGCCGCTCCCGGCCACCGCAACCTCGCCTGCTGGGCTCCGGCGATCCTTCCGCCTCAGCCTTCCAAGTAGCTGGAATTACAGGCATGCGCTACCACGCCCGGCTGATTTTTTAAATTTATTGTAGAGATGAGGTCTCGCTGCCCAGGCGGGTCTCGAACCCGCGGGCTCAGGCAATCCACTCACCTCAGCCTCCCAAAGGCGCGGGATTACAGGCTGAGCCACCGAGCCCGGCTTATAATGATTTTTAAAGGTATCTATTGTACCAATTAGGTCCATTAAAAAATAAGATCACACACAACTAAAATACTTACTAGCATTAAGTATTTAACGGATCACTGATCACAATGATTCACAGAGAGAATCATCCAGCTTCACGAAAAAGAATTTCTCTATGATTCTATGTATATGTTATCAATACAAAAAATGAAACAACTCACTATGCTCATAGCCAAAATAGGTGGATGATTCATAAAACTGTATGAATTACTTCATATGTCAATTAAATCTTCGATCTTTATGCTCTCAACCAATGAAAAAATTCATTCCTAGAAGTGATATGCTACTTTCTGAAGAAAGCACACTAAGTGAATTTCGCTAGGTAAGGATAATAATATAAATCATGTTCTGTGACTTTAAGATGACTAAATTTACTCAAGTACTGCATGGTTCTATCTTTATCCCCACAAATGCCCAAAGAGAATTTGTAATAATTTGATATCATCCTAATATTTATTAATCTATTACATTTAACTGCAAATATATTATATGCATTTCCTCTCTATATCACTAGAGTAATTTGTGTCAAGTAACTTTTGCTTTTTTGTTTGTTTGTTTTGAGTCGCAACCTCACTTTGTTGCCAAGACTGGAGTGCAGTGGAACATTCATGGCTACCACAGCTGTGACCTGACAGGCTCAGGTGATCCTTCTGCCTCAGCCTTCCAAGTAGCTGGAACCACAGGCTAATGCCACCAAAAAAAGTTTTTTGATTTATTGTAGAGACAGTTTCACCAAGTTGCCCAGGCTGGTCTTGAACCCCTGGGCTCAGGCAATCCTCTTGCCTCTGACTCCCTAAGTGCTGGGATTATAGGTGTGAGTCACCACGCCCAGCTTGTGTCAAGTAATATTTGAATAAGTGCTTAGTTCGGGAAAATTCAGCAATTGCTGAATAGCCTTGTCTTTAGAAAATTTTTTCTCAACTCATTTGTTGAATCATCAAAGGTCTTTTACCTTACGTTCTCTGTTAAAGAATTTGTAAAGTGATGTTTCAAATATATAAACATTATATATTCAATATGTCCACAAAATGACATCTCCAAGGAGTTCTTAAAGGTAATGTTATTTATCACTGTAATTATTACTTCAATAGGTAACAGTTTATCTTTAACGCCTCAGAGCGCAGAAAAACTTCAATGCTTTCAAGGGATCTGCATCAAGAAGGAAACATAGTGGTAAAGTATCATGGACATTCTAACTCTTTTAAAAAGATGCCCAGAAGAGGTATTAAACTTATAAAGGAATGGGATAGAAAGAGATATGAAATCAGTACATTTACCTGTGGATCCTTTAGATTTCTGAATCTCTCTCAGCAGTCTTACCTTGGCAGCAATGGCTGCTGCAGTTATATGTGATGAGGAACTATCTTCTGTTGAGGCAACACCACTGTCTTTCTTCTCTTCTTCCTCTTCCTCACATTGAACCCCTTTGTCTTCTGTCTGTTTATGGGGGCTGGTTGTGGGAGGAGGGGAAAGAGGAGGTGGTGGGGAAGGCAAATCTTCAAGTTCATCATGCACCTCCTTTACTTTTACAATGGCATCGCGTAAAAGGTCAATGGCATGAGGTAGAGCTGGCAGTATAAACTGAAAGCATTCCTGTACACAAGAGGAAGAAAAAATTAAGATGACGTACTTTTCTAGTTATATAAAATGGTGGCAATTAAATTGATTCATGTTCTGAATCTGCATTTCCCCCCATCAGTCTCAAGAATAAATCATATTTAAAGCATTGTCTTTCCAATGTGAAATATGCAGTAAGCATGGCATATATTACAGTATTCTCCATAAGCTAAGGAACTAAGTGCTATAAAAGCACATATTACATTTTTTAAGTAAAAATTCTACACAACTTTGTAGTTTAGTGATGTATTATGAGAAGGGCAGGGTAAGTTTTCATATTTTTAGTTAGAGCGGGGCACTAGAAATGACAACCCAATGAGGACCAGGTTATTTTTTTCAGAGAGCTAAAGTTCTGACTACTATCAAAAAGTGTAGCTAGGCAACACTGTACAGTATGTAAACAAAAGACGTAAGTATGTAAAAAGCACGGCCTAAAAGTCAATATAATATGCTGCTGAGGTACACACTATTACCTATAATGGTTGTTTTGTTTTGTTTTGTTTGAATTGGAGTCCACTCTGTCACCCAGGCTGGAGTGCAGTGGCACGCTCATGGTCACTGCAGCCTTGACCTGCTAGGCTCAGGAGATCCTTCTACCTCAGCCTTCCAAGTAGCTGGAACTACAGGTGCGTGCTAGCACGCCTGGCTAATTTTTTGATTTATTGCAGAGACGAGACCTCACAATGTTGCCCAGGCTGGTCTCGAACCCCTGGGCTCAGGCAATCCTCTCGCCTCAGCTTCCCAAAGTGCTGAGATTACAGGTGTGAGCCACCGCACCCGGCTACTATTACCTATAATGTATCATCAAAAAAAAAAAAAAGAATAGGCGAGATCTTAAAAAACAGAAAATAGGGCCAGATATGTTTCCAGAATAGGTGAAAGTCTTTCTTTTTCACATTTAAAGTAAATACCTTAAGAATCTAAGACATAAAGGAATACATTAAAAAATTCTGGAGGCTTATTAGAATCCCTGGAAAGATGTTTAATCTTTTGAACTCTCTTTGTATGGCTAAATCAGTTTACTGCTTAAAGATTATATAGTAGAGAATTCAACACTGACTAAAGAGAGGTCTGGTTTTACCCTTGGCATTTGGCAAGTGATTTCTAGGTCATTGGAACATCATGCCTAATAAGAATGTCTTTGTTTGCCAAGGGACTTTGGCCACTAGACAGTTTGGCAATGTTATTTATTCATATGTCTTTGGGCAACATGGCATCAGTTTTGCCTCTGTAAGGAACTAGACAATAAAGGTATCAGCCTTATTTCTAAGAAGAGCCAGAACATAGGCCAGCCACACAAGCAATATGTGACTGAGTTCCACTAAAAGCACTGGACACCAAAGGCTCAGGTGAACATTCCCAGCTGGCAATACTCCATGTGTAGTGTTACAGATTGATACCAGGAGGGTGAAATGCCCATGACTCTGAAAGGAAAGGACACTAGAAGTTTCTTGTTTGGTATCTCTCTTAGACTCTATCCTATGTACTTTTCCCCTTGTCTGACTTTAATTTGTATTTTTTCCTGTAATAAGCAATATCCATAAATTACTAAACCTGAGGATCATTTTAGGAATCTACTGAATTTACAGTTGGTGTCAGAGTGAGGGCAGTTTTGTGGAGTACTCAAAATCTGTAAATGGCTATTTTTTACAGTTGGTTAAAACTCCTTACAGCTGTTGTGAGAAGTGGTATTTGCTAGAAAGACACTGACTCACTGAAACACATGGCTTAGAAAGAGAGAGAGCGTGAGGGATAATGAACTTTTGATCTTTAAATGAACATAGGGTTGCCTACATCATGAAACTGCTGCTGTATTGTGATTAGCTACTAAAGATAATTCCCAAGGAGTTGTCTCACTGGATGCATAAAGAACTGCAAAATATCAAGTGAAATATTTAATCCCTTAGTTACTGTTCTCCATACTAGCTAAAATTAAAGTAAGGGAGACTGTTGGGGCAGATTATAAGGTTGGGTCAAGCTTGGATTCTAGCTGGTACAATGTATAGCCACTAGTTTCAGAGCTACTTCCCTCCCCTCAGAAAAGTTATATTGAAACAATAAATAATAAAGTTAGACTGACTTATAAGAGAATAGGGAAAGATAACGGGGAGACTAAAGGGACAGAGAAATATTTAAATGGTCATTAAAAGATGGAAGAATACAGCGAACACTGATGGGGGCAAAACAAATGTCTTACTCCTCCACTGTTGTAGGTTGGATGAACAGATGGGAGCCCATGCTGGTCATCCAACATTAGCCAGCAATATTTGGAGACCAGATTTGTTGGGACTCCTTGACATGAGAGTCAACGGTGATTCTAAAACTCATTGAAGTCCCAATGGAGGGGTATAGTTAGAAATAATAATACAAGAGTTAATAAAGCTAAGGTGAAAATCTGGATGAAAATTAAAATATTTAAACAGTGAACTTTAGGTGAAGCGGTTGAGTCCTCTTTACCTAAATATATTATGGGGAAGGATATTATATTTAAATGGGGCATGCTTCCCTTACTTAGCATTACAAAACAGGAGGCATGTAAATCACCCTTTCACCAACAGCAACTGGACATGCTAACAAAGAATCAATAAGATTGCCAGAGCCCACAAAGATCATTAAAAAAAAACCCAAACCATTACTTTGCTATACAGTAGCCCTGTGTGGAGTGAGACTGGGACTTAGGGCAAAAACCTGTGAGTGCCACCTAGTGATAACTGCTGAGATTCTGGGTCAGAACATTTCCATTGGAGAGACAATTAGTAGCTTACCATTGAACTTTAAGAAATTCCTTATGACTGAAGGACATAAAATTATCTTGAAACCCATAATGTCTTGGATAATGTCAGATAAATGTTCTAAAGGAGAGGGCAGTGCCCAGAAGAGTGCTACAAAAAATGGAAATAGTGCATACAGGATTATGCTATGAAAGGAATGCAAGGAGGTACTCAGAAACAGGTATCCTCTTTTTCTTACGGCCAAATTCACTTTAGCCACTTGGATGGTGCCTTATAAACAACTCTTTATTGACCAAGAAAGAACTACCCAGTTTATAGAGGGCAGTTCCAAGGTAAACAGAGAGCACCCTGTTTGGAAGGCTACTACTCTGACTGGAGAAGGTAAAAACAAATGAACTATGGAATGAACTACATGATCCCTGCCCCTATGTCTGGGTTTTTACTGACTCATAAGTAGTGTCTAATGGCCTGTCCATATATTCAGGCAGAAGTACAGTGGAAGATTGACCTATTAAACAGATGCCTGTATGGGATATGACCCTATGGAAATCACTCTGGGAACTTAAGGGGATGCGTTAAAATATGATATGTTGATGTTCATCAGAACTCCCTTCCAGGTTTGGAACTTGATTAGAACCAGAGAGCAGATATCCCAGTATGCTTGCCTGATCCAATCACCTGCACCCATGAGATGAGTAGACACTTGGAAGCTGCAGCAATGCAAAGATGTGAGGGCTACGGGGCAGATTCCAAAGAGGGAAGGCCCTGTACATAATTGGCAAGTAGGACTGATGCTGATAGCTCCTAGAGGCTCCTAGTGGGTCAGTCCTAACAGGAATAGACATTTACTCTGGACTGGGTTTTGCTCACCCGGTGGTAGACGCAAATGCTCAGAGTAGTATAAAAGGGTCAGAACAGAAGATACTGGACCAATTTGAACTCTTGAGTCACATTTCTTCTGACCGAGGAATACATTTTCATCCTAAGAGTAATAATTTGATAGAGAATGGAATGGGCAATAGAAACATTTTTGTCTAAAGTGAGGAAGATAAAGGCATGAAGGGGTGGCTTACATGCCTTCATGAGTGTGTGATCACATTCAATGTGGGGGGAGGGGTAAAGGAAGGTCTCCACTCGACAGATTCCTTCACTTTTCCAGGAAAGTGGGGTTTGGGAAAGATGCTGGTTTGATTTTACTCTTTTCTTTATGGCTATACCTTTTCTTTTTCTCTCACGTTACCTCAATTTTCTTTTCTTTTCTTTTTTTTACCTAATCAGTGGTCTCCTAGGACCAAGGCCACAATGGTGGGAGCAGTAGCAGAAACTGTTATCTTTAAACTTTTATGTAAGAATTTCTAAGGGCCTGATGGGTGTAGATTTGGCCTTCATCACATCTGGCCAAATTAGGGTTGACAGCAGATGGGATGCAGTTACACTGTCTAGTGGGTTAAGATGCAACCCTACCCTATATGAATAGAAATAGACTGAGCACTTGCTAAACTAGTATTACTTATGGCAATCTGGACCAGCACAGTGGCCAAACCTTACATCTCTTTCAAAGATATAAGAGTCTGGGTATAATAGAGAGAAGGAGAAATGGTAGCTGAGGGTAAAGGAATGAATAAATAGGTTATACAATAAAGGAAACAATATTATACTTGTGTTACAAAAGAGGTTCAGAACATGAGATAACATTGCTTCTTAGCTCAGCTGTAACAGATGCTTGAAATGGTGGAGTCATATGTTTCTGTGACCACTCCCACTTTAGGAATCTGACAAGCCTGTAAACCTGAGTGGTATCATACTGGGAGACATATTGGCCATATGACATGGTGATGAATGAGTTAATTGCTCATGTCTAAGAGGGACTCTAATAATGTGCCAGTATCTTTTGACTCTTTTTTTGGTCAAATGTATTGGGAAATTGAGTTAAAGCCTCCTCAGGATAGAATACCAATGGAAAATGACTAGTCTGAGGAAGAACTGGGTATAGTTAACCATCAGCCAATTTCTATGATATATAGCTCTGCACAAATTTATCATATGATACAAATAGTTATAGATCAAGGTGAGAAATCAGAAAATTAGTATAAAAATATGAAAATGTATGCAATGGTTATATGATGGATTAACTTTTTCTCTAACTCTATTCATACCCAAACTGCCTCCTTCAAATCTTAGGCATATTCACACTGATACTATTGCTGTGCCTATCATATGAATGCTTTAGTAAATATAGATGCCCAGTCGAACATGTTTTCTTTTTTTACTATACAAAATGTAGTCTTTAACCTCAGCTACTAGGAAGTCATCTCTAGGTCCTCAGAATGTCGTGCCTGATAGCCTGATAGGAGTGTTTTTATTTGCCTGAGGGCTTTGGTCATGAGACAGTCTAACAATGTGATTTGTGAAGGGGACTTTAGGGCATATGGTATCAGTTTTGCCTCTTTAAGGTATTAGAAACTAAAGGTATCAGTCTAACCTCTGGGAAGGGCTAAAGGCTAAAGGTCAGTCACGTGAGCAGTACGTAATGAGCTCCAAAAACATTCTGGACACAAAAAGCTCAGGTAAGCATCTCAGATTGGTAATACTTCAAGTGTATTATCATACATCAATGCCAGGAGAGTAATTTACAACTCCACGGGGAGAGGATAATGGAAGCTCTGAGTTTGATATGTCTACTGGACTTTGTCTTATGCACTTCTTCCCTTGGCTGATTTTTTTGTTTTGTTTTAGAGAAGGGGTGTCACTCTGTGACCCCAGGCTGGAGTGGAGTAACATGATCATAGCTCACTGTAGTCTCCAACTCCTGGCTTCAAGCGATCTTCCTGCCCAGCTATTATCTTCCTACCTAATCCCGAGTAGGTGGGATTACAGGTGTGCACCACCACACCCTGCTAATTTTTATAAAGATGGGGTCTCACTATGTTGCTCAGGTTGGCAGCAAACCAACTCCTGGCTTCAAGCAATCCTCCTGTCTTGGCCTCTTAAAGTGCTAGGATTACAGGTATGAGCTACCTTATCCAGCCTCCTTAGCTGGTTTTAATCTGTATCCTTTCCCTGTAATAAACCATAACTGTGAGTATAACTGCTTTCAGTGAGTTCTGTAATCTTTCTAGTGAATTATGAAACCTAAGTGTATTTCTGGGAATCCTGTGCACTTGCAATTGATGTGAGAAGTGAGGTCAGTGTTGTGGGGTGGTCCAACTGTTTGGTTAGCTAACTCTCACAGTTGGCTAAAAGTTCGTATATTTTACCATATAAATGTAAAAGTGGCTTACCTGAGATCCTTTCTTGCTACCTGGAAGATTAATGATGAGAGTTTTCCCTCTGATTCCACATACAGGCCTGAAAGAAAAGAAAAAGTGGATGAATACTAAATTGCAATTAATACTTGGTTTATATATATTCAACAGCAAAGTGAAATCATTTTACCTTACTTGTGAAAAACTGTTTTAGGAGTAAAATTGCTATAGTAAGAGATTCACCAGTTGCTATATGAACTGGGCATTCTGACTGAAGTATTTATAATAACTCTTAGCACAATGGATTAAAAAAATGCACTGAATGTGGAATCAGAATAAATTACCCACTTTTAGCAATTTGACATAGTCAAATTACTTTTTTTGTCTAATTTCAGCTTTTTCATATCTTATATAACCGTAAGAGTTCAATGAGATAGTACATAAAAGTGCCTAGTATAGTAAAATTTACATTTAAACATTTATTTACACACATAAAGCACTCGAGTTAAGTAAGACTTAGATTGAGCTCTTGCTTCTCAGGAAGTCTGTAAGTTTTAAAGTAAAGCAAAGGTTTTCAAAAAACAAAAAACAGAAGTGGAGAAGAGGCTGGAGATCTCAATAGTTAACACAGCCATTGATAATCACAGGCATTTTAAGCCAGAAATGACTTTCAGAGATAACTGTCAATTTCCAGCTTACATTTAAACCAAATAGTTAGATAAGAAATATGGCCAGGCATTGTGGCTCACGCTTGTAATCTCAGCACTTTGGGAGGCCAAGACAAAGAGACTGCCTGAGCCCAGAAGTCTGAGACCGGCCTGGGCAACATGGTGAGAATTTCTCTCTACAATAAAATTAAAAAAAAAATTAGCCTGGAGTGGTGGCGTGTGTCTGTAGTCCCAGCCGCTTGGACGGCTGAGGGAGAAAGATTGCCTGAGCCCAGCATGTCAAGGCGGCAGTAGCTTGCCGCTACATTCCAGCCCAGGCAATAGAGTAAGACTCAAAAAAAAACCAACCAAACATAAACAGTGGAAAAGCACTGGAAGACCGGAGTCAAGAATCAAAGGTCTAGATTTTCACAGAGAAGTTGGACTCATGCTCTGTCACTAATTGGCTGTTTCTTTGATCTGGTAACATTACCTCATTTTCATCATTTGAAAACAAAGAGATTATGCTATTTTTTAAATTATACAAGTAAGATTTTTGAAGTCATGTAATAATATTTTTTCCAAAACTTATGATTATTTTTTAATTAATATCATTCTCTGAAATAACCTAAAGCTGTCTAATATGCTACTGTTTTCTTGTCCTATTCAGAATCTGAAGGAGGTGAGTTGCTAGCCACTTATTTAAAACTTTCCACATATCTGAAAATAATTACTGAATCACCTGCTGGCCTTCTTAAAGGAATAACTGCTGATGGTTTTATTTAAAAATTTTAAGGCTATTTTGCAACCCTCAATTTTTCAAAAATGACTTTTGTTTTTGTATAGATTGGGGTCTATGTTGCCCATGCTGATTTGGAACTCCTGGTTTCAGTGATCCTCCCATTTCAGCCTCCCCAAGTGGGATTACAGGTGTGAACAACCATGTGCAGCCTAACCTTTAATCTTAATAATATTTCTTTAAAATCTGGCCTAGTTCTGGCAGTTGGAATTGGATAAAATACTGAAATTTGTGTCAACATAGCACTGGGTGAGTATATAGTTCTTAATATGTTCCATGTTCGTGTTTACTTAGAAATTTTGTTTTCCCAATGAAAATGCTGCATTGTAGCTTTTTGTCAATTTGATAGCTAATTGATTATGTCATCATATGACTGCAATGTCATCAGTTTTAAAGTCACCTATTTTCATAAAACAAATCTGGTAACTTGTAAGATAAATCTAGAATTTAGGCTAAGAGCATATTATTACCTCAGAGAATATAATGTTAACTGTACCAGTGAGTTTGTAGTACCTTTCCTCCTAAAAATTATAAATATTCCCATAATAATTATTGCATGTTATCCACAAACTTTTCTGTGAAGGAGAGATAAATACAGTCATTTACAAAATATGAAAAAATAATGGGGTAAAATTATTTGATTGATATATGTCTCTGGGATCTTTGTAATTTTATACAGTAAGTTCATCACAGCTTGTGTTTATGTAGTTTCCTTTTCTCAGTATAATGTCAATGAATTTATCATTACTGACAGGATGTTGCTTCTATATAAAATTTTAATTTATTAAGTACTATGAAATTTGTTAGATTCTATTTTCCAAGAAAATTGTAACTCCTTCCACTAGCAGGTTAATGGCAAACAACTTAGTTAATTCTTTTTATTTCAACTTTTTGGTCATCAAACCCAGGTCTTTTACTGGAATACTTCAACCACTCTAGAATGATACCCTAGTGGTAGTGCTAAGATAACCCACAGTTATAATATCTAGACCACTATTTCTGTGTGTGTGTGTGTGTGTGTGTGTGTATGTGTGTGTGTGTGTGTGTGTATGTGTGATATAATTAAAGGTTTTACTACATAGCTAGGAGAGATTATATGTATTTCAGCTAATTTTTTTTGCCTTTTATTTTGTCAACAAATTAGATCAGACATTTTTTATTCTTTGTAATTTCCCTGATCTCTTTGAAGCATTTACAAATTAATTTTGAGATATACTTTTCATCTATACAATGTCCAGAGTCATTGTAAGAAGAAAGTACTTCACCTTTATATAACACTTTATGGTTAACAAAGAATTCTTACAAACACTATCTCATTTAGCAATTTTTATAAAACCAAACAACTCATCCTTAGCATATTCCAATATTTTTTAAACTAAAGATCTGTACTGAGTATTATGGGATAAATGCAACCTAAATCCATAAGGAGTTTACAAATATAATACAGAACATTAAAACATAAAAACAAAGCCAGGCTCAGTGGCTCAGCCTGTAATCCCGCGCCTTTGGGAGGCTGAGGTGAGTGGATTGCCTGAGCCCATGGGTTCGAGACCCGCCTGGGCAGCAAGACCTCATCTCTACAATAAATCAAAAAATCAGCCGGGCGTGGTAGCGCATGCCTGTAATTCTGGCTACTTGGAAGGCTGAGGCGGAAGGATCGCTGGAGCCCAGCAGGTTGAGGCTGCGGTGGCCGGGAGCGGCCACTGCACTCCAGTCTGGGCGACAGAGTGAGACTCCAACTCAAACCAAAAAACATAAAAACAGCTCAACACAAAATAGCAAATAGTAATACAAATTGGTAAAAAGTATCATGATTTAAATAAAAGTGGTATATTACTAAGCAAGGCCAAGAGGTAAGACTTTTAAAAAAGATAGCATGTGAGTAGTTTTATAAAGGAAAATATTTTAACAGGTAAGAAACAATAAGAGGAAGGGCAAGAAAAAGAGAGCAATTTAGGTGGAGGGGGAAAATAATGCAAAAGCATGGGGAAAAAAAAGCACCAAATGCATTTTGAGTACATTGCTTTGCACCTGATATGTTGTACTTATAGAAAGAAGAGTATTGTGAGCTAACAAATACCAGTGGAAAGATGTTACAGTCTGATAGGCAAGTATTTTTCAAATTGTGGTCTCTGCACCAGCAACATATACATTATTTGAAAACTTGTTAGTAATGTAAGATCTCCCACAGTGTGTTTATCCCCTCCTCTCTGCTACTGATATACTGGATAAGAAACTATGAGGGCAGGATCCAGTAATCTGAATCTTAATAAGCTCTCTAGTTGCTTCTGATCCATGGTAAAGTTTGAGAACTGCTGTGCTTGAATTTGGGTACTCCTATTTATTATCAATGCAGTCCTGGCTTAATTAATAAACGTTTCTATCCTTAGTCTTCAAAACTCAACTTGTTGAAAGGATTAAAATAATCTTAAAGTATAATGCATAATAAAATGCCTAGTATATCATAGGCACTCAGTAAATACTTTGAGAGGGTGCAGTAGCTCACCCCTATGATCCCAGCACACTGGGAGACTAAGGTGGGAGAATCACTTGAGCCCAGGAGTTTGAGGCCAACCTGGAAAACATAGTGATATCTCCTCTCTAGAAAAATTAGCTGGTGTTGTGGTGTGTACTTGTATTCCCAGCTACTCGGGAGGCTGAGGCAGAAGAATAGTTTAAGCCCATGAGGTTGAGGTTGTGGTAAGCTGGGATCATGCCACTGTACTCCAGCCTGGGCAACAAAGTGAGACCCTGTCTCGAAAAAACAAAACAAAACAAAACAAAATGAAAACTTTGGCTCATCTTTCCTTTAAAAAGTATACAAGAATTAGATAGAAGAAATTATGAATTCACTGTAAAAAATTAGAATACATTCTTTTTTTAAAAAAAAATTTAGATTTGGGGATACATATACATGTTTGTTACATGGACATATTGTGTAGTGGGTGGGGACTGGGTCTCAGTGGCCTATTCCCCAGACAGTGAATAATGTACCCAATAGGTAATTTCTGAACCTTAACCAACTTCTCACCTCTCCCTTATTTGTGCCCTAAGTGACCATTATTTCCATCTTTATGCCTATTTAGCCCCCCCATATGTGTGAGAACATGTGGTATTTGGTTTTCTGTTTCTGAGTCAGTTCACTTAGGATGACAAACTCCAGCTCCATCCATGTTGCTACAAAGGACATGATTTCATTCTTTTTTATGGCTGCATAGTATTCTTTGGTATATATGTACCATGTTTTTTAATGTACCGGGGACCTTTCATGGATTCTGTTCAATATTTCAGGCACTAATTCAGGAATAATAGTCTAAGATGAACCGAAAGGGGTAACACGAGATATACGAAAAGAAAGTCTGATAATAGAAAACACTAAATACAAGTTGAATCATTTTTGGTTTATGTTATAAAATATATCTTAAATGTATATAAATGTACACTAGGCAAAAATACTCTGGGAACAATAGGAAGGACATTCTAATTTTAGCTGAGGGAGTGTAGGGGTGGTTAGGGAAGCTTCCAAAACAAAGGAAAATCTAAGCTGCTATCTAAAGAACTGGTAAGTTCACAGAAATAAAGAGAGAAGGAAGAACTTCTAGTATAAATTCCAGGCAGAGGAAATGGCATGTGCAAAGTACTCAGAAGCTAGCAAGA